TTGCCATGAGTCAGAATCAATGCAACAGCCACTAACAACAACAGCATAGAAGCAATAGTAAAACTAGAAAGCGTGTAGAAATACGCAAGAGAATACTTAGAATGAAAAACATTCATGGACCAAGAATAAACCCTGGGGTACACAACATTAAAAGGTGGCAGAAGCAGACTTGTTCAGGGAGAGAAGGAATGACCAGAGACGTAAGAGAACAGAGTAAAAATAATCGTGGAGATATAGGATCACTTGAAAGGACAGGGAGAGGTCAATAAGGAGTGGTCAACAGCAGCAAAGCATCTAGAAGCCAAGTAAGAGAAAGGATGGGTGAGTGCAGGGAGAAGCTGCAGCAGAGGCAGCAGAGACAGATGATGGAGGACTGGAGCACAGGGGAAAGAGGTGAAGGAGTTCGGATTGTATCCCGTGGGTGTTGGTAGACACTGGAAGAAACCTAATCCCATCTATGTTATATCTTTTGGCAATATTGTGGAAAATGGTTACATGAAAGCTTGTATCACTCCTTGTAATCTTCTGGAATAATTTTAAACTTTTTCTAAATATGTTGCTTCCTATATGAGGCAAAGGGGTTTTGTGCACAGTAAGAGCTTTCTAATATATTTCAAACTACCCAACCATCAACATTACTGTGTAATTACTACCTAATAGCCATATCTTAAAGTTCTACCAAACTAATTTTAAATATTTAATTAGAATAAGTACTCACAGGAAAGATTTTTCCTAAGAACCAAATATAATGGCTTTAGAACACTTGACTGATAAAGGTAACAGTGAGTGAGAGTAGAACTGTGCTCCATAGAGTTCCCAATTACTGATGTTTTGGAAGTAGATCACCAGGCCTTTCCTGCAGGTGCCTTTGGGTGTACTCAAACCTTCAATCTTTCAGCTTGCACTACCCAGGGACTTGGTAGGCTATAGGGTATTAAAAATTGAGCAATCCTGGGTCCCCCACTTATAGGGGTTACATTCAGACAAATATAATATCAACCTTATGTGAGATAAACATGATGAGCACTCTAGGGAAAGGAGAAAAATGCTGTTTCTACACAAAGGAGAAAAAAATTGTATTAATTACTGAATGAGACAACTTGATTCAAAAGACTAATGGTAATTCCAAGTAAACCACATTTTAATAACATTTTAATGTTATTAATATGTAAAACAGTACACATTTTCAAACATGATATTTAAATAGTTTAGCTAGTATCTCCTGACTATATATGCTTATAGATGTAAAATTAGAATTAGAAGTATAACAAATGCCTAAGTCCAAACAAGAACAATCTCCAGAACAGCCACCTTCCACTTCTGTGGTGTCTCTACAGCAGTAGATCCAGGAAGGAGATGCTGAGACACCAAGCCCCATTTGTATGTCCTTCTACACTGCAACAAAGTGCTTAGAAACCAGCTTTGAAACACATTAGAGTTCATTTCCAGCAATGAAACTGAAGGTCAAAGAAAAAAAATCAACGTGGAAAAGGAATTTAGAAAATCCTAGCTTCCAAAGGCAATACGTGATTGAAAATTAGTCCCCTAGGATTGTGCCATTCCAGAGAGAGACGGATATAGGGTCTTTCTTTGAAAATGTGATCAGTTAACCAGGTCATATCAGAGCAGAGTGGATCTTAATCCCTTCTGAGTGATATCTTATAAAAGGGGAAAACAGACAGGGAGGCAGAGTCACACAAGAGGAGGACAGACGCCATGTGAAGCTGCATCTGCAAGCCAAGGAGCGCAAAGAGATGCCTGGGGTGACCAAAACTGGAAGAGACCAGGAAAGCTCTTCCCCTAGAGCAGACAAATAGAACATGGCCCTACTGACATCCTGATTTCAAACTCTTCACCTCCAGAACGGTGAGACAATAAATTTCTGTTCTTTACAGCCATACACTTTGCGGTAGGAAGCCAAGATATCAAGCAACAGGGCATGATTCTGAAGCTTTCTGAACAGAATTTCTCTACTTAGCAGCTAGACAAAGGTACTCCTGCAAATAGGCAACAATCAGCACCCAGAAACCCTGTGAATGGGCAAAGCTTCAATCATATAAGTCAGCCTGGGCTACTCATACAGTGTGTATGCGATCACACAGCTAGTGACCATATCCAACATGTGACAGCATTTGTGAGATGATAGCCAAATATACTTAGTGGGAACTCTTACATAAACTTTCCATCTTGACATTGTCCCATGCTAACAGTTTTCATTAAACAAATAGTTTCAAGTAACTCTGCAAATAAAAGATTTTTAAAAAAGTACTAATTTGTACTTTCTCCTTGGTGATATGCAATGTATCAAAACATTATTTTTAATAAAGTGATACTCGTGAAGAATGTGCCTCTTAGTCAAGTAGATACAAGAGACCAAAGGGGCGGCTTCTGTCCAGAGGTGAGATGGGAACGCAGAGAGAGTTAGGAGCTGGTTGAATGTTCATGGGGAATCAGGGGCGGAGGGGAGGAGTATGCTGTTGCAGAACAGGGTGAGCGGTTGGTGTCTCATAACAATGTATGTGAAAAAAAAAAAAATTCTGTATGGGAGACTAACTTGAAATGTAAACTTCATTTAATTATAACAATAAACAAAAAACCATTATTTTTATTATTCATGTGGAAGAAATTATTACTCACTAGTTATGACTGGCTATGTGGGCAGACATAACAGCAATAGAGAGAATTTGGGTTGTACAAATAAAATTCCACTATTACACAAGCCCCAGCAATGCTCAATTATATCAGGGTTCTTTTTTTTTACGTTTTCTCAGACCTGTGGAGTATTTGCAAAGTGAATTTAAGATTTAGATATTCACGAACAAGGAAATAACTGCAAAGACATCACAAAGGAAGAGGACCTAGAAGGATAGACAGAATTTCAACAGGCAAAAACGAGAGAAGGCACATTCCAGAAGTTAGAAAGGCCTCTGCTCAGACCTTGTATTCTCATATCCTTTTTGCTCCATTATGCATGTACTAGAGTTTCTATTCACAATCTAACATGTCCCTGTGATAAGCCACCCTTTCTCCCTATGTTACTAAAAGTACAGGAACCAAAAGACAAGACATTCACAAATAGCTACAGAAAGCAATGGGCTTTGAGGGTGACCACAGATTACATTCAGTCAGGCTAGACTGTTCTTTTTTTTTTTAAACTTTGGATTCTTGCCACTTTTAACTTTTTAATACAATAGTCTGTTCTCTCCCCTATAATTCACTTCTGTAAGTTTTCACTATCTTTTAACCAAAGAAAAAGGATGTTAAACTTAAATGAAACAGAAGGTCTGAATTAATGTGTTACCGTAAATGTTTCTGTAGTTTGAGACTTCTTTTCACTTGCTTTACATTCCAAAGTGACGTTTTCATTCCCTGAGATAAATATCTGAGCTAATTTTAAGTCAAATTGTATCATCAGCATGGCACCATCATCCCCCGACGCTGTGACCCCACCAGCAAGCCTGCCCTTCCTGCTATTCTGCACTGATAGCCTGGCCTGGGAAGCCCTGCCCCCCTCCTGACACTCAGTCCTCCCAGGTGGGCTTCCGGGAGGAGCCCCACTGCCCTCTGCTCTCCCCTTGTTGCTGCCCTCCTCACTGGGGCAGGATGTCTTGTTCACTGAGGCTTACCTGTGTCTGCCGGCCTCCCTTCTTCTTCTGTACCCAGATCCCCTGGGATGTGCACTCCTTAGCACAGACACCTAGCTGTCTGCTTCTCTAGGAACTCCTGAGCCCACCACGTGACAAATGGCCCACAATAGGTATTTAATAAAAGTTTTTGAGTGAATAGTGTATGTATGTTTATATCATGACTCCATGAAAGAAAAATACTAGGAAATCCCCGTTTGTTTTCTTAGAAGTGAAAACTGAGGCAAAAGTGGCCTTAAGAGCCATGGGAGAGTAAGGCCTACCAGGCCTTCCATGTACCTTCCTGGCCCTGGTCTTCATCCCTCACAAGCCAGGTGTGTGCAGCAGGCCTGGCCCCTGGAGAGGGCCCTCTGCTCCCAGCTAGGCCCTGCCCCCTACCACCTCCCTCTACCGTTTGTGCAGACATAGTGAATTGGCTTCTCTCTTCTGTCCTCACCCTTTCTTCTCTGTTCCTGCATCCCTCGCACTCCCCAGCCAACAGCCCAGCTGCCTCTCAGTCCTGCTTTTGCCTAGGTCACAGGACCTCTCTGCCTTGGGGATGAGAGTCTGATTCTCTATGTTGGTAACATTTTCTTCCCCCCTTCTCCTTCCTCCCACTCTTCTTAGGCATCTAAGTAGCCAGGAACCTAGAGAGCATAGCTGACTTTGGAGCCATTGGAAACAGTTTTGACTGCTAAACCGACCTAGGAGGGTCTTGTTAACCCAAAACGGCCTGCTTCAAGTTCGAATGTTAATCCACAAAAACCCGGTGGCCAGCTTGAATGGGGGAAGGGAAGGAACCGCTACTTAGTGGGTGCAGGTGTTCTAAGTCTGTGATTTTGTTTAATTTTCACAACCCCAGGGAGTTACAGAACGAGGTGCTGACAGATAACGGGAATAACTTGCCTACTAACTTGTCAGGTCGGAACTCCAAACCAGCTCTTTCTGCTGCTCTAGCTGCCTCCCGCCAAAGAAACCTCAACACGTGGGAAATTGAGGTTGCCTTTGGTTTCTTTGGATCCCTGGTGGTGCAGTGATTAAGAGCTATGGCAAGCTATGGCTGTTGACCAAAGGGTTGGCGGTTCAAATTCACCAGCCTCTCCTTGGAAACCCTATTGGGCAGTTCTACTTTGTCCTATAGGGTCGCTATGAGTTGGAATCGACTGGACCGCAGTGGGTTTGGTTTGGTTTGGTTTTTTTTTTTCTTTTTTCTTTATGAGATGGAGGTTTTAGGTGACTTTGAAGTCTCAACAATAGTAAATCGAATACACCCATTACCTCTTTTCATGAGAGCCTGGAATCTGCTGCGCAATTAGGACTTCCAGAAAGACCCGATGAGCCAGGCACCGAGGTCGGCCCTGCAGGCTGGGGTCTTACCTGCGCTGCGGACGGCGCGGAGAGCCAGGGTGGCCCGGGCCTGCGGACGCAGCAAGAGCCCGAGGCCCACGCGGGCGGTGTCTGCTGTCGTGGACCGGATGGGCGACGGCTTCGGCTCCTTGTCTGCGGCACTCGCTACGCTGCGTCCCCGGCGCGCTGCGTGGGCGCCAGGCAGGGACAGGGCCAGCGCCAGCAGGAGGAGCACCGGCAGCAGGGGGCGGCCGCGAGCTGGGGGCATGGTCCGTGGCCTGCAGAGAGGGGGGATGCAGGCGGACGGTGGGCGCAGAGTGCAGGAGCCGGGCCGGGGACCACGGCCCGTGGTCCGAGTCGTGAATGTCCTCCTGAAGGAGGAGCCCTCCCGAAGTCCCGCGCCCTCGTCCTGGAGACTCAAAGGGCGTCGGGGTTTGGACCGAACAGCGTGTAGCCCTGTGTGCCCTGAACGAGGTAGGGGGCGGGAGGGGGCGCCGGGGAGCGAGCGGGGAGCGCAGGGCGCAGGAACTGCCCCACCCGGGTCCGGGGGCCGCGGCACACAGCCCTCGCGGGCATCTCCAGCGCCACCGCGGCTTGCCCGCCGCCCGGGACCTCGGAAGGTCAGCGCTGGGCTCTACGGCCCACAAGGTCTCCGGCTCAGCTTAATGTTGGCGGCTTCTCACGAAGCCCTTCCCCGAGCTCCTGGACATGGTGGCTAGTGCGTCCCTGTCGCGGTTCTTTCTAGCGCGCGGCGGGAGCCAGCCCTGTTACCGCAGTCTACCCTCCCGGGGTCGGTTCCTCACCGCGCCCTTTCCGCCCCAGTCCGCGTCTAGCGACATCGCGCCTGTCTCTCCACGCGCCGCGCCCCTGCCGGGCTAGGTAAGCAGAGCTACCTCTGGGTCTGCACCGAAGACAGCAGCGCCGGGACTCCAAGCATGGTCCCCAGAGGCGATCAGTTGGAGAGTTAACCTTCTCCTATTGAAACGCCTCGCTGGGCTTGGGCGAGGCTGCAGGTCCGGCTTCCGCCGCCGGCCCCCACCCCTGTGGCAGCCTCCGAGGAGCACGAGGAGACTGCGGGAGGAGGCGGTTGCAAAAGTTCAAAGCAGATGAGGTCATGTTCCCTGCAGCTCTGATGACTGTCTTAGTTTTCCAGTGCTGCTATAACAGAAATACTACAAGTGGCTTTAACAGAGATTTGTTCTCTCAAGGTCTAGGAGGCTGGAAGTCCGAATTCAGGGTGCCAGCTCCAGGGGAAGGCTTTCTCTTTCTGTCAGCTCTCGGGGAAGGTTCTTGTCATCAGTCATCCCCTGATCTGGGAGCTTCTCAGCGCGGGAACCCCGGGGTCCCAAGGACGTGCTCACTCCCGGCTCTTGTTCTTGGTGGTATGAGGTCCCCACATCTCTCTCTTTTATATCTCAAAAGAGATTGGTTTAAGACACAACCTAATCTTGTAGACTGAGTCCTGTCTCATTAATTTATTGCCTCTAATCCTGCCTCATTTACATCATAGAGGTAGGATTTACAACACACAGGAAAATAGAGGTCAAGGAAAAAGAGGAATACCCTCAACAGAGGGTTGACCCAGTAGCTGCAACTATGGGCTCAAGCATAAAGATCGTGAGGATGGAGCAGGACTGGGCAGAGTTTCATTCTGTTGTACATAGGGTCGCTGTGAGTCAGAATCCACTCCATGGCCCCTACCAACAACAGGAAAATCACATCACATGACGAAATGGTGGACAATCACACAATACTGAGAATCAGGGCCTAGCCAAGTTAACAGATATTTTTGGGAGGACACAATTTAATCCATAACAGTGACAAACACCGAGGTCCCTCCCGGCTCCTGGGGTTTTGCCTAAGGAGTTAACAGTTTGAGTGCTTCTCCATGTGCAGTCAGTAAGATTACCAACACGCCCAAGAACACCACAGCAGGGCTTTTTTAAGTGAAGAAGCTGCTCTCCCAAACTTTAGCCGGTGCTAACAAAAGGAAAATGAGATTAAGTCCACTGATTCTGACTAAAATAAATTAAGTGAACCATCTATGATCAAACTGAGCTCTGCAAAGATATGGTGGTTTTTAGGCATCTTCCTCTTTATTGTTTTACAGTATGGAGAAAGTCTGTAATTGCTTGCTAATCAGTTGATTAGTGAGATACAGAGGAGGGAGGAATAACCACAGGGACTGAAGGCCGTATTACTCACCAGGCATGTCCAAAGTTAAAATGCTCTGCAAAGTCACAAATTCTGAAAAATACCCGCAACTCCTTCAAATGGTTCTTCTAGGCTTGGAATCTCCAAACTGCTTGGGAAATGGGGGAAACCAAGCAAGCCTTGTAGAAGCCCTAGGAAATCACAACTTTAATGGAAACTCTTTTGAGGAAGGTGGATGGCGCTCTGAATCACTTTACTGTGAAAGAAGTGTCAGAATCTGGTGCTTCCAAACACTACGGCATATGAGCACGGCTTCCACCATACAAAAACCAAACTGGTTGCTATCAAGTCAATTCTATTCCAACTCATAGGAGAACGGAAAAGAATTTGTGTTGGCAAAATTGGCACTGAAGGCCCTGGTTATGTGGAATAAACTCTCTCACAGCTTTAGTCAAGTAAAATAAGAAAACATTAAAAATCCATGGGCATTGACGAGCATTCTGAAATTAAAGTTTAATTAGAAATATAGTAAGTTAGGGACTACTCTGATGAGCAAAGGCAAAGATGCAGCGTGTGAAAGAGTGATACAGAAAAGACAAGAAAGAAGACTAAAACCCATTGGAAGCTGGATGGTTTCCACTGAAAGTGAGAGAAAGTAAACAACCTAATGAACTTTTTGGAGCTGACAGTTTAGCCTCAACTTTTTTCTTAGTGTTTGGTCATGTAAACTTGGGAAAGTCATTTCATCTCAGTTGTCTCTCAAGTGGTGAGAAATTGAACTTTAGTGGTTCTCAAACTGCAGCACTCAGACGAAACACGTGGGGTGTGTGTGAATAAAACAGATTCCAACACCCCGAGAGATTCCAGTCCCACTAGGAGGAACCATGCATCTGCATTCTAGAGGACTCTGGGTAGTTTTGGAGCAAGTGCTTCAGTGGTGTCCTTCAAACCCACTTTTACTCATTTAACAAAAATTACTTAAAATTATTATTTGAGTGCAAACCATAGACCAGGCACAGTGGAAGACACTGGAGCTACAACATGGGTGAGACAGACAAGGTCATTGGGAAGCATCTCACTTCAGGAGTCTTGTTCACCAACATGATGATTTTATCATGAACATGTTGCTACAGAAAAGTTAAGTTTTTGCTTCTTATTTCTTTGTTTTGTTCATTGTTTATCTATGAATATTCCTCCCTACTGCTTAAACTAAATGCTACTTGTCCTTACTCTTGCTAAGCAGTTCAGAGGTAACTTGACTGTTTTTGTAGATCCATTGTAATAACACTTGTTAACCTTTTACTTATGTATAAAGGAGGGATTATACATATAAAAAGGGTAAGTAGTAACTAATGTTTTAAATAATATTCAATTTATTAAAAGTATACATTTTAAAAGCTAATTTTTATACCTTAAAACTCAAATTTTATTTTCTTTATAAATTTGCCAACAAATTAAACAGATTAAGTTCCTCTAAATATTTAACACCAGCAAAACCTGTTAAATATTTCAAATTACCATAAAAACTTTAATATATTTAATTTTTGCAAACATTTAAAAAACATTTAAAAAGTAGACACAATTTTAAAAGGCACAAGTTTTGCAAAACCCCTTGCTACACTTTCCCAAAATTATTGATGATATAAACTGGGTTCTTTTTTTTAATCATACTATACGTATATTTAAACCTGTTGCCGTTGAGTTGATTCTAACTCCTAGTGACCCTATAGGGCAGAGCAGAACTGCCCCATAGGGTTTCCAAGGAGTGGCTGGTGGATTTGAACTGTCCACATTTTGGTTAGCAACCAAACTCTATTTGGAGCCCTGGTGGCACGGTGGTTAAGAGCTCAGGCTGCTAACCAAAAGGTTGGTAGTTCTAAGTACCAGTTGCTGCTTGGAAATCTCACAGGGCAGTTCTACTCTGTCCTGTAGGGTCACTATGAGTCGGAATTAACTCTATGGCAACAGGTTGGGTTTTTGGTTTTATACATATATTTATACCTTCTTCGATAATGAGATTATTTTCCTGACCAAGGTGACCAGAATTCCCATTTCAAGTCAGCTGAGATTATCGATTCAGTTTATCTGTTAGAAATCTAAGCCCTTAATACAGTAATGAATTTGGGAAATAAGTCAGATTAGTGAACAGAACCTGAGTTAACTTCCAAGATGATTAAACCATGTCATAGAGTTTATTGAACTAGTCCCCTTCATATCATGATAAAACCCTTCAATCCCATATCTCTCTAGAAATTGGTGTACTACATTTAACTCTTACCTTTTTATCTTTTTGACTATAACCTCCTACATAACTTTTGTAATAATTTTTTTTCACTTTTCTTCTGGCTATATTGAGAATTTTGCACACATGCACACTCCAGGTTGCAATATTGTTACATAATATTTTATAGTCTGATTTGACTGAACTTCATTCAATACACACAGAGTTTGGTCTAAGCAATATACAGCATTTTTTGTAAATATGATTAGAAAATCACATATGCTTTTCCTTTATTAAACCACATAATTTTTCACTTAGAATAACATTTAGAATTTACAATAATTCTTACAAAATTGTTGATTTCTTTTTGCCTCTCAAACAACACATTGTGGTCAGCAGAAGCCCCTTAATGGTGTATCCTTTCTCTCTGGCACTCCACAAACATCTGTGAAAGTGCCACTGCTGTCTGGCACCAACACAGGCACCTTCCAGGCCCATCCTGATTTCCCTGATTGCTTCCTATCAGGGAGAGACATTGAACCAGTTACTCACCAAGGGGATTCTAGTGGAGATGAACATCAGATTGTTCCACATGAGAAAGTGTGGCAGGAGGGGTGACACCTCTGCAGGATATCAAAGACAGAAGTTTTAAAGGTTGTGAGTCCATGTGGTCATTTCCAGTAACTCCAACTTTACTAAGCCCTTTCTTAAAATTAATTTTCAAATATGTTTTTAATTTTCCCTCCTTTAGCCACCAGCTTTCTCTCTCTTCAGAGATTTCATTGTAAATAAGTATATATATATATATACACACACATATATGTGATTCACACAATTATATAGTACAACAAAAGAAAGAAAAAATCAATGAGTTCATTTATAACAAATAAATA